GACGGACGTGAGTGAGTGGACGGACGGCGGGAGGTAGAGTCGTGAGAAGGAAGGAGGTGCGGCGCGAGAGGAGTGTAGAAGGAGGGGGGAGGGGAGGAGAGAGAGAGAGAGAGAGAGAGACGGTGTGTGTGTGAGAGAGAGAGAGGGTGGAGCAGAGGCACGCGCCACAAGGGGCAAACATGAATCCAAGAATCGGAATCTTGAACGCGGAAACCAGAGTAGAGTTGCTCGCCCGACGCCGTCCTCAGCTTTGGCTCGCCCGCGCCGCACCGCATCGCATCGCGCCACGCTCTCGCATAGAGCAGGGCCCCGCCTGCCCTTCTCAACCCGGTTGCAGGTCGACCATAGCGTCTTGTTCTCTGCCATCAAGCAGCCTAGCACATACCGGCCACTTCGACGCTCGGGGTTCGGGCGCGCCGAGGCCTTGCGAGCGCGATGCGAGGGTCTGCAACGCGCGGCTCACAAGCGGACCACCATGGGCCCACCCTCCGTTTGCCTGCGCTCTTCACTGATCAGAGTCAACCAAGCCGCGCCGCACACCCTTTGCAAAGGTCCATCTGCTCGGCCGCGTTCTTGCTCCCCAGAAACATCTAGCAACAACCGGCCCTCCGCTTGAATCGCGTTTGATGAGGAGCGAGCATGGGGACGTCGAGGATCGCTCCCACGCCTACGGCCCCAAAAATCGTGGCGATGCCACTGCCAAAAGTTTGGGCCAACGTAACCTTGTCGGCTTGCTTCACACACACGGACCTTGCTTCCCTGGCTCCGACCAGTCTAGGTAGGGGGCCTCATCTCGCACGGCCCTGTCGAGGTGATCGACATGGCTGATGACACCAAACGGACAACTCGTTGCAACCATGAACGCCTCGCTAGAGGACACCCTGGCGATGCGAGCAGCAGTCCTCCCCGCCACCTGCCCTCGTCTTGCTTTCGCAGCGGTGGCGAGCTAGGTACTCTCCATATTGCATCCTCGGGCCGCACCGGTTGGGCCCGCAACGTTGACCGCGCTTGACAAGAAAATGTCTTGTTTGCGCCCACGATGGACGGCATCCGACCCACGCCCCGCTGGCTCTTCATTTTTTCTTTTTGCCTTCTCGCCAACTCTATTTGGCCGCCTCAACGACGATCGATCGGATCGAGCAAGCTTTCCCACCCTAGGTGTATATGCTCCTTGGCCTGACTAGCAGCCCGAGAAGTAAGTTAGGGTCTCATCTCATAGGGGCGAGTTGTGAACGAATACGTACGCTAGGTGGCGAAAACCATCGTGGTGCCTGACGGCGGGTCGAGACGCGCGTCGACGGCGCCTAGCGCCTGGGCCCTCACTCCCAGCTGAGCTGCGCCGTGACTGCGCAGTGCGGTGCCGCCTCACAGCCCTTCTTCACGAAGCCACGCCGCGCCGACGACATCTCGCCCCTACCTCTGTCTGCCCTAGCTCGCTACTCGTCTTTGTCTGGCCTGACCCGGCCCCCGCCAACCTCGGCCTGAAAAGGGACAGCCCCCCTTCCGCCCCCACCCCATCCTAGCGTCGCAACCACCACCTTCCCTCCTGCTGCCACGTCGTCCAATCCTCTGACTGACTCTTCCAGGCGCTTAGGTACGCGGGGCACCATCACGCCAGACCGCGCTCTCGGCTCCATGATCTGCGCGGACACTGGCAGGCCATGAACGCTGCACTTCCGCGGGCGGGACCCGCAAATCAGACCGCCGAGTAGGACCCGGTCACCATCGAGGACAACGACCCCAGCATCGTCTTTTCCGGTGGCGATCCGTACTCGTGGCCCGAACAATCGGACTGGAAGATCTGGGATTCTGGCGCCGTTGCGAGGGTGGCTTCCGGTGGCAGCGCCGTCTATACCCAGGTGCCTCGCGCCACGCTCAAGTTCGACTTCAGGGGTGAGTTGCTGTCTTTGTTCGTCAAAGGGGGTTGAGCCAGCACGAGCCACCTGCTAGGCGAAGGGCATATCACCGGACCGCGGCTTACACGCGCCATTCCGCGTCACTGATCCTACAGGACGACAGCTCAGCATCGCCTTTGTCGCCTTCTCCCGACCCTCTTCGGTGGCGATTTCAATCGACGGCGGCGCCGTAAGCAGAACCGTCGAGATTACGACCGCCGATGCCGACGAGCTATCCGTTGCGGCCTCGCGACAAGATGTCATCAAGGTCGTCTTCGACTCGCTCGTTTGCGCCAACCACTCAGTCACGCTCACCAACACATCCCCTGCTGCCGTCGCCACCAAGACCGCCAGGCTTACCTTTGACGCCTACAGCTTCCTGCCTCCGGGAGACGAGCCCTGCGGTTCGCTTCCGTTGGGCGGAGAGGGCAAGGACGATACCGTAGATGTCATCAAGGAGCCCGCCCCTTTTCCACCAACGCCCTCTCCAGCTCGCAGGGATCAGGACCGCCCGCAAGACGTTGCAAAGGTGGCAGGCATCGCGGTCGGCAGCGTCTTCGCTGTTGCTGCCCTGGTAACGCTCTTCGCCTGGATCATTCGCCGCCAACTTAGCAAGCGCAAAGCCGTCGCGGGCGATGCGGTCCAAAAGTCGTCGTCGGGACAGGGCGCAAATGCAAGGTGGCCTTGGAGCAGGACCTCGGCACTCGTCAAGGGGGATGGCTCCGCCAAGTCTCGAGAGAATGGTGCAGACTCTGCCGATCCGTTTGCGCTGGTTCGGGACTCCAAGACCTCACCCAGGCCTTGGACGACTTTGTACGCCGCGTCCTTCGGCTCCAGCCTCAAGTCGGCCCCTGCCACGCCGAGCAAGACCTCGCCCGCCGAGGCTGACCCAAACGAGTCCATCATCGCGCCCTACGGACAACCACCTCCCCGCACTCCGCCACCCTCCCCCGGCACGGCTTCAAGGCGGCACGACTCGCCAGGGCACCCGCCCGGCAACAAGTGGTCGTCACCAAAGCGGGTAGGCTTCATCACGACGCGCCGAGATGCAGACTCTGCATCGCGCCCCTTCAACATTGTAGCCAGGTCCGGCCTCATGGATCGCGCGGGGCAGCGACCTTGGAAAGCACCAGATGGTCAGGCACCCTTGCCATCCTTCGGTGCCACCGGCAAAGTCGCACGACGTCCTGATCAGCTCGGCATCTCGATTCGGCCCCGCACCTCCTCGCTGTCAACGAGCGGCGGCGCGCTTGGCAACACGGCCTCGGTCCGACCGGCAACGGCCAGCGCCGTCGAGCACTTCAATCGCGGACGGGCCTGGGTAGAGATTGATCGTCCACTGTCGTCATTCCGTGCCCGATCAGACCATGTTAAAGCTCTTAACAGCCGAGCTCCGTCGACGCACGAGCGTCTAGTCGACACAATCTCATCGGGACCGTGGCAGGACGGAGCGCGACCGTCGAGGGACCTTGATGCCGAGGCACCTACGGACCGTCAGACGCCTGAAGTTTCAGCCTTCCCGCACCGCCCTCCCAAGTCGCCGCTGAGGGCAAACTTTCTGAGCGCTGCCGGAGAGGCCTCTGCCGACGATTCCGCTCTGTCCAGGAACCGCTACGAGTACGACACGGTCGACGAGCAGTCGATGTGGCGCACGCCTTCCCCCGCATCGACTGCGGACCCGACCCAGAACCTCAACAAGGCCTTGCAAAGGGGGACCGGTCGCGAGCATGACAAGGACCCCTCGGAGGATGGAGCGATCCGATTCGGCGATGCCAAGGCCCGCACTACGACCATCGGGGCCGAACGAAAGGACCAGCCCCTCCCCGCCGTTCCCGATCAGGGGTCGGAGCGCAGGGTCAAGACGAGGGCGTCCAGGCTCATTGAGCATCTCGACGACGACTTTGGCACCGACGTGGTCGATGGCGTGAGGCGCATGCTGGCCGACGGCGGATCCAGCGGCTCCCACTACTCTCGAGAAAGCTACGACGAAGGCGAAAGCCGCGAGGACGCCGCCGACAGCCGGATCAGCCACTCCGACCTGTCCATCTGGCGCTCCGACGCCACCGTCATGAGCCTCGTCCGTGCAAAGGCTCCCCGTCTCGGCGAATGATCTCCGACCGCTGCGCCGCGCCGACCAGTCGGCTCGCAACGCCCAAGACTCGCCACATGAACGACAAGGCAGCCGAAGCTGCGGCGCCTCGCGAGGACACAAAAGCGCGTCGGTAGGAGGCGGTCGGACCGCCATGCGGGACCCACTGAACGGGACTTCCCTGTTTACCTCAAGCCGACCACGAGTTGGAATCTAGCACGCGGCGTGGAGCACCCATTGGTCCGGGCGATCGCGAGCTGATAGCAGAGCCAGGTCCTGGAGCGAGCAGAGTCCCTGTAGACCGTCCCAGACCATGTCGATGCAGCAGCTCGGCGTCCTTACCGTGCAAAATCGCCACCGAATTCCAAGGCGACCCTGTCCTCCAAGCTCCACTGGCCGATGCGATGCCATCCAAAGGTGCGGCACCACGCGTCGTCAATCTTGCGTCGCGCGTGGGCCAGCAGCGTTTCTTCGTCCTCCTCGCTCTCTTCCTCCAGATCACCCAGGCGAGGATCGGGGTCCATGCTTGCGGTACGACGAGCGCGGCGACGGAGCCTTCCCCCGACAGCGGTTCCATTCATATTGGACGGGCGGATGAGCTTGTTAGGTGAGGCGGTCGAGGGCCAGCGCAGCAGCGCCTTCAGGTCGGACCAGCTCCGCATCGGATTCGCCAGGGCCGAGGCGATGAAGGTCGAAGGGATCGAGGTCAAGGGTCTCTCAAAGAGGGTGATCTGCATCCGGCACCGATACGAGTGGTGGCAATACCCCGGCGTCCACCCGCCTGGGCGGGGGCCAGGTATCTTGGTGGCAAACGTGGCGGGATCGCCGCTGATCTCAAGCCTCGCCCACCGCGTGAGATTCCACACCTCGATCCTGACGGCCTTGCTGGGAAAGTCGCGACGGATCTTGAAACCTATGCCGTAGTTGACGTAGGACCGGGGCGCGTCTTCGACGGCGAAGCCGGGGCCGACAGCGAAAGGAGGCCTGAAGTCCCACGCGATACGTGTGCCAATGCGTATGCCGACCAGAAACGCGGTCAAAGACAGTATCGACCCACCGGCCAACGAGACGCGGATGTCCTCCGGAGGCTTGCCTTCGTCGAGCGGACGAGGAGGATCCGAGTCGCGCTCCCTATGCGCTGTAAGGTCGTCGTTGGAAGCGCCCGGTCGGCTTTGGGGCACGATCTCGCTCGCTGCCTGACACCAGAGCCACCCCGTGGGGAAGCCGTGGCCCCAATTCTTCTCAAAGTGGACCGAGGCCGAGCCGGACGAGACGATCTGTGAAGCCGGGCTGCCCGCAGGAGACGAGCAATCGATGTGCTGGATGGTGTAGGTGGCGGGAGACTGGGTTGCATGGACGTACCAGTGGAGAGGCAGCAGGAGGCCGAGATGCTGCAGGAGACCTTCGGGCCCCTTTGAGCTCAGCGGCAGTCGATCATACCACCTTGGCTGCGCGCTGGCCGGGTTCCAGGGGACGCGCCGCTGGGTGCACAGCTGGACCCGCGTTGCGCCCTGCTCGCCATCGCTGCGGGGCAGAGTGAGGTCGACGCGAAGGTTGCCGTTGTCGGTGACCTCTAGCGAGCCCAGCAATGCGCCGACGACGTCGGAGCAAGGCAGCTGGATCCGGAAGGCCTGCGGCGAGCTTGGATCCACGCTCGGACCGAGGCGGAGACGCCAACGTGGAATGTATTGGACTGTTTCAAAGCTCTGATCCCGCTTGGAAGCGGGAGGCCCGGTCTCGCCAGTTTCTCCGTGAGCGGGTGGAGCGTGGTTTGACTTTGGACCGGAGCGGGTGCGCGACGAGGTTGCTGGGATGTCGATGGCCGAGAAGGGGATGCTGTCGCTTGTAGTGTCGAGGCCTGTGCCGATGCGGTCTAGGAAGCTGGAGCTGGCATTGCGATTGCGTCGTCGTTGGATGGCGGCCTGGCTGGATTCCTCGCCGTGGGCGATCCAGCGCATGTAGAGGCAGATTTTCTCTTCTGGCGGAGCGCTCTGGAGCTCGCAGATGACGAGGATGAGGTCACCTGGGGTCTCGTGAGGTGGCGATACGTTTGCAGCATTGGGATCAGGCCGATGCGCCTGCGTAGCGGCATGTCGAGAGCTGGATGGCAACGCGGTCTGGGGCTGTGGCTGGGAGCGGGGAGAGGGCGGAAAGGGGGATGAATCGGGGCGATCTGTGGATGGAGAAGCGAGGGATGCGGGCGACGAGGACGAGGCTGCAGGCGGGGGGGAAGAGGGAGGCTGTGGTGGCGAGGCTGCGCCGTTGTGGGACTGCAGTCGGATGAAGAAGCCTTCGAACGAGGAGCCTGCTTGGTGGGTGGGAGGGTTGGGGTCGGATGAGAGGGGCAGATGGGAAGCGAGGAAGTCCATTGCGCGGCGATAGGGGGCGTGAACGAGATGGCGTACGAACGAGGGAAGTCAGAGGATGGGAAGAGAGAGGAAGGGGGAAGGAAGAGGGAAGAGGGAAGAGGGAAGAGGGAAGAGGGAAGAGGGAAGGGAGGACGGCAAACGGCCCCGAGGCAAGAAGCTCAAGCCAAAGTCGCACCACAGAAGGCAGATGAGACGATGATGGGGTCCCCGAACATCTGCCCGACAGAAGAGTCAGAAGAGAGAGGCCGACAAACGAGGGAGAGGGAGGGAGAGAGGGAGAGAGGGAGAGAGAAGAGAGGCAGAGCCAAACCAAGGTGGAGGCCAGGCTGCACAGGCAGGGCAGGCAGGGCAGGCAGGGCAGGCAGGCGTGCCACGCTGCGAGCGCCTGCAGGCAGCCTGCAGCAAAGAGGGCCCAGGCAAGCAGCAGGCCAGGCCAGCTAGGGTCCTGTCGGCCCCCTCGCCCCTCCCGGGCACGGTCCACTTTGTCGAAGATTCAAGATTGCATCGATTGCATCTCGCTCGCCACCACCACCACCCCCAACACTCCGGTCTCGTCACTCCCTCCCTCGGTCACCCTTAGACGCACCGCTCTTCGCTCTCCCGCTCCCACCACCCCGCTCCCACCGCCCCGCTCCGCCTCGCCTCGGGCCAGCACCCTGTCACCATGAGCGAGGCCCAGACCAAGGCGGCCACCTACGCCGCCCACGACCTCTCGCATGCCGCCCTCGGCCATGGCCCCTTGCGCGTCAGAGGAAACCGCTTCCTCGACCAACACGGCAGGACCCTCCTCCTTCGAGGAATCAACGTGTCCGGCGCAAGCAAGCTCCCCACCACTCCAAACGGACTCTCCCACCTCTCCCAAGGCTTCTACAGTCACCGCTCCGTCTCCTTCATCGGACGTCCCTTCCCCCTCGACCAGGCGCCCCTCCACCTGGCCCGCCTCAAGGCCTGGGGACTCACCCTCGTACGCCTCCTCGTCACCTGGGAGTCGATCTCGCATGCCGGCCCAAACCCAAACACCGACCTCGACCACGACTACATCCACTACCTCACCCAGCTCATCCAGCTCATGCCAAAATACGGCATCAAGTGCTTCGTATGCGCCCACCAGGACGTGTGGAGCCGTTTCAGCGGCGGCAGCGGCGCTCCCGGCTGGACTTTTGAAGCTGCCGGCCTCGACATCCACGCATTCACCCAGACGGGCGCCGCCTACGTCCACAGCCAGGACGAACTGCGCCGCGCCACCGCAAAGGCCAACAAGGCCGAGCCAAGCGGGCCCTTCCTCTGGCCTTCGTGAGCTCCTCCGCGTCCGTGGGCAAAAACCGCCGCCTCGGCCAAGACAGCTGCTGATGACTCTCTTGCCACTCAACCCACGTGCGAAACAGCGGCTACCAAAAGCTCGCCGCCTCGACCATGGCCACCCTCTTTTGGGCAGGCGATGCATTTGCGCCCGACCTCGTCTGCACCCGCACCGCCCTCGACGGGTCAGGCCGCCACGAGGTCGTCTCCATCCAGACCTTCCTTCAAGACGCTTACTTTGAGGCTTTTGGCCGGCTGTCCGATGCCCTCTCCGGCCTGGAAGCTTGCATCGGCTTCGAGGTAAGTTCCCGGTGCGATCGCAGCCGGGCACAGCAGACCGCAGCAACCTCTGACGAATCCCAGAACCCCACTGCCACAGGCCATGAATGAGCCGCATCGCGGTCTCGTCAACCTTCACTCTTTCTACAAGTGGAACTGTGAGTCTGCAAAACTCATGACCCAATTCACGCTGTGCGTCCGGGCATCCTCTCAGCGACCGTTTGCAGCCTGCCCTTCCTGATCGCTCCCAGACGACACCGACCTACACATCGGCCACTATCCGACCCTGGCCGAGGCGCTCGCCCTCGGCAGCGGACACGCTCAAAAGGTGCACTAGTGAGCAGCATCCGGTCGACAAGAGACCTAGATCAAAACGCAACACCTTGGGCAGACGCTGATTCTTGCGACGCCGACCTTCCTGCCCGGATAGCTACGTCAAGACCTGGCCCATGCCCACCCGCATCTCCCATCGCTCTCTTTTGGACCCTCAAGGACGCTCGGCCTGGCTTCCCGCCGATGTGGTCTCGGCGCAAGGCGGTGTCGATCGACCAAAAGGTATGGGACGATGTGTATGGAAAGCACACGGCGTATGGGAGTGGAACGACACCAAACAGGCCGCCGTCATCCTACAGCACAGCTACTTTGACGAAGACCATCGAAAGGGCAGAGAGGGACAGAGGGTGGAGTGGTACCGAGACTTCTACACACCCTTCCTCAAGCGCTTTCATCAGAGGTGAGTCGGCCATTGATTTCCAGAGTCAACCCTCACGCATCGATGTGCTGAAGCCGCAGGTCCGCCTCGTCGTTGCCAGAGTAAACCGGAAGGCGTCCAGCAACCTATCCTTCCTCGAGCCGATCCCGAACGAGTTTATGCCTCCGTGGAAGCCGGCCGCCGCACTCGACGAAGAGGCCGCACGAGCTCTTCGCGAGGCGGCCACGGCCCAGTCGTACGCGGCCAAGACGCTGCTGGAAGAGGAGCGGCCGAGCAACCTCGTCTACGCGCCCCACTTCTACGACCTCAACGTTCTCTTTGGCAAGACGCACGCGTGGATGAGCGTCAACGTCCAGGGACTGTCGAGGGGCATGTTTGTACTAAAGGCCCTCTACTTTGGAGCGGACGGCCTGCGCAAAAACTACCGCACCCAACTCGCCAACATCGTCCGGTACGCTCGAGCTTCGCTGGGCGCGTTGCCCATCGTCATTGGCGAGGTCGGCATCCCATACGACATCAACAAGCGGCTGGCCTTTGCTACGGGCGACTTCTCCAAGCAGCGCGAGCTGATGGACGCCCTCATCGGTGCCATGGAGGACAACCTGCTGCACTTTACCCTCTGGAACTATAATCCGGACAACCGCATCGAGTATGGCGACGGCTGGAACAACGAGGACTTTTCACTGACCAACGGCGGCTCGGACACCGGTCTCCCGGTCAAGCACGACTTCCGCAACCACTCCTTCGAGGGCGACGAGCTGTTCCGCGGAGGGAGGGTCTTAGACGTCGTGATCCGACCATACGCTGCCAAGGTGGCGGGGCAGCCGCTCAAGACGCAGTGGGACCAGAGGACGCTGAGATATGAATTCGAGTGGGGCAACGTCCCGTCATCTGCCACCGACGATGATGCAGGGGTGGACGAGGCTACCGACCGTAAGCGCAGGACCACCGAGATCTTCCTTCCTGCTTATCACTACAGGGGCAAGGAGTTCAGCGTCACTGTGAGCGATGGCGAGTACACGCTCGATGCCGAGGTGAGTAGCTAATGGGGTCCCGTCGCGACGCCCTGTCAGAGGCGATCCCCACCGCGGTCCGTCCAAAATCTGCCCGCAAGCTCACCCGACGTCATCGTTGCCCCCGCTCGATGCAGAACCAGACCCTCTACATCGTCCATGCCAACAGGGAGCCGTTTGTCAAGCACAGGGCGACGATCGAGCTGCGCGACGAGAGGGCGCACATGCTGCAGCGGGTCCGTGAGCGGCGTCGGCATGTGGGATCCCGATCGCCCCTGCCGGTAAGCCTGGAGCTGTGGCTCGAGTCGTGGACCGTGTCGCAGGTGCTCAGTATCTCGATAGTGGTGCTGGTGGCGCTCGTCGGCATCGTGGCCATCGACCAACACGTCGTTGCCACCCTCGAACGGTAGAATGGGCCGGCTACGGGGCTGGTCCAGGGTGATGCTTAGATAGAATCAGCCCCGCCCGCATGGCTAGGCGGACCAGAGGCGGCGGACTCGACTGCTTTGAATCACTCGCCCGAAGACGCTTTGCGCGGCGCTCCGGCTCGAAAACACGGACACATGACAGCATCCCCTGCTGCTGCTCCGGCTTTTGCCGCACGCCCTCCGTCTCGCCATGCGCCAGCTCCCAGGACGCGCATGCCCACCCCTCGAGCGCCTCGAGCCAGCAGGTGGCGCGATTGAGCCGTTCTCCGAGCGCCCTTCACAGGCTGGCCGTTGCCGAAGGGGCTGGCACGAGGCAATCTCTTGCTTGTCTTTCCTCTGCCATACTTCGTCTGATCACTCTAGTATGTGCCCGGGGAAGGCCTGGCAAGGCATCGTTGCTGGCAGCCCTGATCCTGAGCAATACTCTTGCAACGATGCTGCTCTGAGCGAGCTGGCCCCCCTGCAAACCCCTTTCCTTGCCAGAGCAGGAGCGTCTTCTTCGGGCCCGTCGAGCACTCCCCCCAACCCAGCCAAGCTGCCGGGCGAGGCCAAGAGCTCGGGACTCGGACGCGCCTCGCCCCGAAATTTTCTGCCTTCTCTGCGAAATTTCGGCCTGCCTGCCGCACTCGTCTGCTGGCCTGCTGCAGTGGGGCTGGCTGGCACCCTACGCCGCCACCACCACCACCACCACCACCACCATCACCACTACCATCCGTCGACATCACGGCAGCACGCCCTTTCCACCCACGCTCCGTAGACGACTTTTGAAGGACTGTGTAGCCGGCTCAGCACCGCCAACGGTCTGATCTCAAGCGGACCTGATCGTCCCGCCCTGCCTCAGCGCCCACCGCCCCATTCGGTCCGCTTGGCACTGCCGTCGCCAGGATGAAGATCAGGAAGCGCGCCTCGAAGCGTCTGGCCGTCGCTCAGCGTGAGAAGGTCAAGCGCAAGGTGCGCGAGCACCACCGCAAATCGCGCAAGGAGGCGCGCAAGAACCCGAACCCGCAGTGGAAGTCGAAGCTCAAAAAGGACCCGGGCATCCCCAACAGCTACCCATACAAGGAACAGCTGCTCGCCGAGATCGAAGACAAGCGCAGGAGACAGGAGGAGGAGAGGCTCGAGGAGCGCGAGAGGCGCCGCCTGGAGAAGGCCAATGCCAACAAGGTCGATGGCGATGACGACGACGAGGAGGCGGATGCCATGGACGTGTCGGCCCTGCTGGGGACAAGCGAGGACGACGACGACGATGGCCCCGCCTCGCCCATGGTGGCGCCGCTCTTCCGAGGCACGCTCGAGGAGCTGCTCGGCTCGGACGACATTAGGACGCTCGTGTTTGCCATCGATGCGCGCGACCCTCAGAGCTATCGCAGCACCTGGATCGAGGACGAGGCGCACAAGCGCGGCAAGAAGCTGGCCATCGCTCTGGGCCGCGCCGACCTCGTCCCCGCCGAGACGCTCGCTAACTGGGTCGCCCACCTGTCCAAGGCCACCGGCCTCCAGGTCTTCCCCATCTCGGTCCGCCCCGAGCTGGGGAGAGAGGGCATGCTTGGTGCCGAGCAGCTCGTCGAGGTGCTGGACCTCAAGGGCAAGGGCAAGGGTGATGTCGCGGTCATCGGACTCGGACACGTGAGTAGTCGATGGGCGTCGTCAAGTCCGAGAGCAAATGTCTGGCCCGTGCTGACCCAAAGTCCGTCTCTTTCCTGGATCCGTCTGCCCACGACAGTCCGGACGCTCCTCGATCGCTGATGCTATCCTGACCGCCATTGGGTTGCCCGAGGGTCAAAAGGACCTCGACGAGGAGTTGACAGAGTGGCCCGCCGTGCTCGATACCATGCCGCTCGTGCCCGTCAGAAAGCACGACGCCGTCGAAGACTCGGAAGACGACGACGAGGGCGAGGACGACGACGAGGCAGTGGACCGCGAGGAAGATGTTGAAGGCCAGGAAGACGCCGCCGACGACGACGACGACGACGACGACGAAGCGCTGGCACAGCAGGCCGAGATCCGGGCGATGCACACACTGATGCGCAACCAGGGCGCGGTGCAGCGCATCAAGGAGCCGCTGCCGCTGGTATGGGCGCTCATGTCGCGCATCTCGCACCCCGAGGACCTGATGCTCATCTACAACCTGCCGGCGTTTGGCTCCTTCACCCCGTCCAAGGCGTCGCTCGCCGACGAGGAGCTGACCGAAGAGGAGCGCGCCTCGCTCATCTCGGCCCAGCTGCGCGCCAAGGTGCACGCCGATACGGAAGAGTTCCTCATCTCGCTCGCCCGCTCCCAGGGCGCGCTGCGACGCGGCAAGTTCCCGAGCACCGCGGCGGCGGCCCGCATCCTGCTTCGCCACTGGTCGGCGCACAATTTCGCGTACTACTCTCAGGCGCCCGCGCTCTCGGCCGAGGACAAGCTGGCCTACCTCGAAAAGGTAGGACGGCCGCGCATCCAGCCCCTCGTTGAGGCGGCCGCGGCCGTGCCGCGCAAGGAGTTCCGCAAGCGGTGGAGCGCAAAGGAGCTGCGCCTGAAGCCGCTCTCGTTGGTCAACGGACGCGAGGCGCTCGTTGTCGACGAGGTCAGGCTGATGGACCCGCCGTACGAGGAGGACGATGATGAGAGCGTTGGCGACGAGGAGGAGGTCGAAGACGACGGTGAGGAGGAGGAGGAAGAGGCGGAGGGAGAGGACGATGAGACAGCCGAGCCTGCGCTCAAGTCGATCCTCAAGAAGCCGACATCGGCGTCGACATCGGGCAAGGGCAAGAAGCGATCCGCGCCGGCGGCCAGCGTCACGCTCGTCGACGGCAGCGTCGACGTGGATGACGGGGATGCCACGATCGACGACAAGGATGACAGCAAGCTCTCGCGCAAGGACAAGCGGCTGGCCAAGAAGGCCAAGACGACGGCGACACCCGCATCGACGGCGACGGCCAACAAAAAGCAGAAGAAGCCCGCCGGCGCGGCAGCGGCGACCAAGGCGGGCGCGGCTGGCAATGCGCTAGCGGCCAGCACCGGTCCCGCGCCGGGCGAAAAGTACGACTTCACCGCCTTCTTCTGATTCAACCTGTCATTCTCTCTCTCACTTTGGTTCGGGACCACGCCTTGTACTAGATAGCAGCGCCTTGAGCGCGCGCGCTGGGATAATGCGGCTTTGCGGTTGCCTTGCCGTGATTACATTGCCTTCCGTTCCATCCGAGATCTTCAATGGCGCGGTCGTCGCTTTGTCCGTATCGGAAGCGACGGCGTCCACGTCCGAGGATGCCCGCTTCGTCTCTTCTTCTGCTGCTGCGCATGCATCGCCTCGCTCCTCGCTGCTTGCTTCTGCCATCACCATCGTGCCGCATTACGACTAACAACCTGCGCTCGCGATCTTCATCGACGGCGCAGGCGGCGGCAGACGATGCGCCTTAGGCATCACACGTTCTCTCTCGTCATCGCGACGATGGAGGTAGGGAGGGGCAGCGCCATCTCCTGGATTCGACGGGAGGGCGGCAGAGCAGTCGCGATTGCCAGAGACCCGTTGAGAGCACGGCTGTACCAGCGCAACCACGAATATCGGTCAGACACGCCATCCCTGGCCTCTACTGCTCATACCGCCCATAGCGCTGTTCCTCGAGCGGCCGGGGAGGCGCTGCCCAAGCCGCAGCCGGAGCTCGACACGCTACTAGTCGACACTGGTCGGCTCGACCTGCTTGTACCTGGCGACGGGACAGGCGTAGCTCTCTAGGCTCCAGTACTTTCTCAGCACGCCGTCCCACTCCTCTTCGGGACACTCTGGCGTCATGACGTGCCACTGTGTGTCGAGGCCGACGTCGATGAGGTCCAGCTCGGCCAGCCGCGTGTAGACGTCGTAGAAGAAGGGATTTGTCGCTGCCAGCCCGTGGACTGCAGGTGACCCGGAAAGGCAACGGCAGAGGCAGACGGAGAGGAGGAGCGCGGAACAGACACGGTCAGTGGCGAGGCTGGGCGAAGACTCTTGCGACGAGCGACATCGATCCGACTTACAGAACGAGAAGCGCGAGTCTGGCCCGTTGAGGATGTAGGGCAGGCACTCGAAGAAGCGCTGCAGCTCTGCACCGGCGAGGAGCAAGGGCGAGCGACAAGGGGTGAGTCGGTTGAGTTGGAGATGGGTCCATCCGAGCTGCGTTGCCGCCAGCGCCGATGGCCGCGCCATACTCACCACTGTAGTCCTGGCTGTACGTGTCCCAGTAGACGGCGTCGAAGGAGCCGAGCTGCTCTCTCTTCTTGACCGATTCGTCGTTGTCGTCGTCGCGGATCCAGTCCTCCCACTTGCCCTCAAAGATTTCGACGCCGGGCACCTTGTCCCATCCTTTGCTCCGCATGTAGGCGATGGCGTCCGGATGGGGCTCGATGATGACGTGCCGGCCGGGACGGTACTCCTGGATGAATGTGTCTACGATGCCAAGGCCGAACCCGACGTTGAGGGCAGAGAAGCCCGGCTGATGGGGCGAGCAGATGAGGCGGGCGGAAAGCTTCATGATGTCCGACTCCCAGTCAGCCATGACCATGCCGCCGTCCTGGTCGAGGCAGCGCATCTTGCCCTTTTCATCGGCGAAGAAGCGGAGCCTGCTCGAGAGGAAGGCGTCGTTGGACGTCGACACCTCGTTGTGGGTGGGTGCGTGGAGTGTAATTTGGCCCGGTGTTGCCTGGTATGCTGCTGGGTCATGGCGGTTGCCATCGCCTTCGCCGCCGCTGTTGCCGCTATCCGCTGCTGCCGCCGTCATCGTCGTCGTCGCGGCGGTTGCCACTGCAGTGCCCTCTGGTGCGTCTTCAACATCGTCTTGCGCTCCGTCGACCGACTGCTGACCCTGCTGCCTTGCGAGGACGTTTTCGAGCAGCGTGCGCCTCACGCCCTCGTCGAACAGGGCGCGGTAGCACTTTTCCCAATTCATGCTGTGCGCGACCTCGGCGGCGGTGATGCCGAAGTGGTCGACGGCGTTCCAGATGGCGCCTCGCCGAAGCAGGAGCCGTATCACCGCAGCATGACCGGCCTCGGCGGCGTAGTGAAGCGCCGACCAGCCATGCGCGTCTGCATCCTCGTACCAGGCGTCGGCACCGTAGGGTTGGTGGTCGAGGAGCGCCTTGCACGCCTCAAGGTCGCCGCGCGCCGCTGCGACGTGGAGCTGCAAGTTGAGTGCCACGCGTTCGGCTGGGAGTGCGAGTCCGGCTGTGTTGGGCGAGACGGCGGTGGCGGCTGCTGCCGCTGGTGATGGTACCTCTGCGGCGTCCATGATGGTGTGGGCAGACGGAGAGGTAGGGAGAGAGAGAGGGAGGGAGAGAGAAGGCGCGGCTAACAAATCCCGAAGAAAAGAGCCTCGCTCGCAAACTCCACATTTCCGACTTCCGCGTCCCCGCTGGAATGCCAGGCTGCTCGGAACTCGGCACTCGGTGGCAGCTGCTGTGACCTCGGCCCGCCACCCCACACTTTTTGGAGCGCGGTGGCAGGCCGCTTGGCCTGCCTGGCTGCAGCGCGAGACGCGCGGGGTCACCGCCAGGCCTGGGCCAGGTCTGTGGCCTCGAGTCGCCGCCGGCACTTCTTCCTCGCTCCTTTGCGTCGAGCCCGCCTTCGCCTAGTGCAAAACATTCCAACGTCACCATCACCACCATCTCTCCCCCTGCCGACGTCCCAGAAGACACAAGGACGCAACCCTATTCCAAGAGCTGATCCAGAAGGATCCTCTTCCGCCATCTCACCCTCCCACCACCACCCGCCCACTCACCATGACTGGCGGCTCGTCGACCGTCTCGCGCGCACCCCCGCCGCACGTTGTGCCCAGCTACGGCGTGCGCTCGCTCATCTCGCTCCTCCTCTCGCCCTCGCTCCTGCGCATCGTTCGCTCCTTTTTCTCGGGCCCCATCACCCTCGACCCGCCCCTGTCGGTGCGCCTGCTGATCGTCGCCCTCGTCGTCGCAAACTGGCGCTCTCTCCCGCTGGTCTGGCATTACCGTGTCTTCTACCCCGCCGTCGCCGCACGCGCAAAGGCGCGCGCTTCCATCCACCCGCTCCTCCCCTTTATTCCGTCGTCGTCGCACCCCACGACGGCATCCGAGCCCAAGCTCCGCCTCGACAAGCTGCCCCTCGGCCGCGACCTCTTTGACGACTTCTCGACCCACACCCTCGTCGCATCGCTCGACGACTGCGACTTCAACGGCCACCTATCCAACAGCTGCTATGCAAAGGCGCTCGACTACACGCGCATGACCTGGATCTCCCAGCGCTTCCTCAAGATGCACTTTGACGGCGCGTGGATGGCCCTCGGCGGCAGTGCCTTTGCGTTCCACAAGGAGATCCCCGCCCTTGCCCGCTATCAGATCCGCATGGGCGTCGAGGCCTGGGACGACAAGTGGTTCTGTAAGTCGGCGCCGGATGGCAGCGGAGATCGCCGGCATCGCAACCACCTTTCATCAGGACGTCGTAGGGAAAGCATCCTGACAAGCTTGGCCCGTCCCCTGTTGCCCCGCTGAACCCACCCTTCCCTGCCCATAGACGTCGTCGGCCGCTTTGTCTCGCCCGCGGCGAAGTCGCCCTCGTCGACGCTCATCAAGGTCAAGGAATACGCCTCGTCGATCATCTCGCCCGCCACCCACCGCCCCAACTCGGCCAAGTCGGCCTCGTCGCTCTCGGAAGCCGCCGCGACGGATCCGGCGTCCGGCGCGACCGGCAGCGGCAGGAGCAGGAGCAGCAGCGCTGCCGCCTCCGAGGTCGTCTACTGCACGTCGGTCTCGCGCTACTGCTTCAAGTCTGGGCGGCGCACTATTCCTCCGTGGCTCATCCTCGCCTCGTCCGGCTACGGCACCTGGGCCTCGACGCGCACCAACTGGACAAAGGCCGAGGAGCTGCGCGCAAAGGTTCTGCGCGACACACAGCGCGAGCACCGCGCCAAGACGGGCCGCGAGCTGCCTAGGGACGGCATCATCGCCGGCGGCGGGTACCGCAAGGCGGGTTTCCTGACGCGCTACCGCCTCGAGAGCGAGAGGACGGGCAGCGACGACGAAAGGTGGATGGACAAGGCAGACTGGCAGCTGGACGAGTTCGAAGAGAGGAGGCTCCAGGGGTTCGAGCGCCTCAAACGCACCGTCGGCGGCGTCGTGCCCGCCTCCTCGTCGTTGTCGTCGTCGTCACCGCCGAGCGGCACAGAAACTTCTGAGGCGCCCACGCCGACGGGAGCGGGGTCGCCGTAATGAGGCAAGAATGTCGGCGACGGCGCCGATCTGAGATGATTTATAGACATACGCCTTCCCCACGATTGTCCGCCAGATCGGCGATGCTTGACTGAGTCACGCGTCCGGGCATGCGGTCGGGGCGGCCTGTCCAGAAGGCACCGCTGTGCTGGGCTCCGCCCGACTGCTTCGTTGACCCTGATATCCGACCAGCTCCTCGACTGTCTTGGTTGTTGAATCGTCGCCTGGCAGGTGCGGCGGCGCAGGATGGAGACGTCGGTCCGACATCGCCCATCTCTCGCACGGAGATGGCCCTGCGAGGCGCCTGCAGTGGGCATCTTTTTCGCGCGAGACGCGCCGACGACGGACGGATGGATGGGCTGACCGGCTGACCGGCTTGGTCCTCACCGGCCGAAGGCGAGAAGGTGCGCCATGCGGCGGCGAGAAGGCCCATGCTGCTTAAATGGCACCGTCCCTTGACCTTGCTCCTTGCTGCGCCGTTCTCTTCCTCTCTCCCCACATCAGCACCAACTCTTCTTCCACCACACGTTTACATTCGCGACAGACGCACCGGCACGGTCCTGTCTATGCCCGCCATGTCTGTCATCACCGACTTTGCGACGCCGCAGCTGCTACCGCTCAGCGAGCCATCGCGGCCGACGCAACCCCCTCGCATCCCCGAACGAAGGTCCAGGATCGCATTCACAACGGTGGCGGCGCAACCACAGTCGACCGCTCCACCGCCCACCCGCAGCAACCGATCCACCACGGCTGAGCAACAGCAATGGATCGCGACGTCGCATTTCTTCCCGGCCGCTTGGCCACGGTCGCACGCACGGTCCGCCAGGTCTGACACGCACCAGCCGCTGCCAGCCCGCAGCCGACCTTTCGCCGCGCTGCCCATCGACCCTCAGCAGGCCAAGGCCGAGGAGAAGCGGCAGCGTGAGTCTGACTTTGCCGTGTGGAAGCAGCACATCGGCTCGAAGGAGCGGTCCGGAGCCACTATCCAGGAGCTCCGTGAGCAGGGCGCGGCGCGCAACCACGCATCGCGGCTTGAGCAGGCGCGCAGGGACAACGAGGAGCAGCTCTGGGCTTGCGTCCAGCGCATCGTTCCCTCTGAGCCGTCCCACGACGCCAGTGCGGGACAGGAGGGGTACACGCTCATCGTGTCTCACGCCAACGGGCTGCACAAGGAGCTTTGGGAGCCGGCGCTGTCCCACATCGTTCAGACGCTCTCGCTGCCCGCCGCAGATGGCGCCGAGGGAGACGGACGGCAGCGACGAACAGGATCGCCGGTCCGGATTGACGAGATCTGGAGCTTCGACTGCACCCACTCTGGCGAGGCGGCCAGCGTCAACCGCGACCGGCTGGGCGACGTCGTCTCCTGGTTCGACCACCCGCGCGACGTGATGCAGTTCCTCGACCACTTCCTGCCGCCGCCGCCGTCGTCGTCGTCGTCGATGAGCGGCGTGCAGCGGTGGCACCCGACGATGTTGCCGCGCACCGACGGCAGGGCGCACGCGCAAAAGCGCAAGTTTATCCTGCTGGGCCACTCGTTTGGCGGCACGACGATGGCGACGCTGGCAGAGTGCCGGCCGGACTCGTTTGCCGGGTTGGTGCTGGTGGACCCGGCGATGCCCGATGACGAGGCGCGCGCCTCCAAGGTGACCTTTGACCCTGAGGCGGTGCCGCTTGCGCGCGGAGCCGTGGCGCGGCGGGATGCGTTTGGCTCTGCGAGCGAGGTGCGTGGGTACTGCGAGTCGAAGCCCTACTTTGGCGCCTGGGACGCCAAGGTGCTCAACCTGCACCTGCGCTTCGGCATCCGGCCCATGTCGGTGGCGCTGGAGCGGGCGGTGACGGTGGACGACCTGGAAGACGACGAGCGCAAGCGGCAGGCGGTGACGTGGTCCAACCCAAAGTGGCTCGAGGCGGATGCGTTTGCCCAGACGTGGATGAGCCTGTATACACTCACGTCGCTCGAGGCTGGACGCAGGACTCGGGCATGGACGTGCCACCTGTCGATGCGCGGCGGCAAGACGAGCCTGGTCAAGCAGATCCCGGGCGTCCCGTGCGTGCCCCTGGACGGCAACCACCTGGTGGTGCAAGAGGAGCCGCGCAAGATTGGTGAGTCGTATGTGACCGTCGCGGTCGACGATGCCAAGAGCGGGTTGCGCTCACCACCCCTGCTTGCCTGCCCACCCTGTCCGCCCGCCCGCCTCCTTGTCTGCTGCGCCGCCGTCGACAGGAGAGGCCGTGGCGCGCGTCATCCTCGAGAAAGCCACGGGCGCCGGCGACGAGGCCAAGCTGCTCTCGACGGTGGCCAAGCCCCGGCTGTAACTCTGCGAAGGTCGGTCGCTGAAGGATGGATAGATGAAGGCCATCCATGGCGTGTTTGGCTCCTCTTCCGCACGGGCGGTCGATGGCCATACAATGATGAGAATGGCCATATGGCCGCGTACCGTCGTCTGTCTTGCAGAGTCTTTCGATGGGGCACCACCCCGTGGCGTCTGAAAGCGGAAGAAGCGGCAGCAGCAGAAGCAGCACGAGGCCGCCGAACCCAGGAGTTTAACCGTGCGTGGCGTGGGTTGCCTGTGGGTTGCCTATATGTACAGGCAGGCAGGCAGGGTAGGTAGGCCGGTAGCTGCCGCGCTTGGGAAACTGGCCGGGGCCCCTCGGTTGAATTCAAGTGCCGGTTCAGAGGCAGACGAGGTTGGGGCGTCGCTGCCTCGCCAGCCTTGCCCTGGTCGCAAGACCCGCGGGGCTCCCCTGCGCACCAGCAGCGGCTCTCTGGATCCCTCTCTCGCTCCCTAAGTTCTCTGGCTGCGGCTGGCTGCGGCTGGCTGCGGCTGGCTTTCCCCGCCATTCGCCGTCGCTGTGCTGCTGGCCCGGCTGTTGGCTGCAGGCGTCGGGCCGGTTGCTCGGCGCGCAGAGGGACCGGAGGGCCGATGCCTTGCTTCCCCCGTGGCCGTGCCCCTTCTCGCTCTTCCTAGCCCTCGCCCTCGCCCTTGCCCTTGCCCTCGCCCTCCGCCGTCCGCTCCTGGACCTCTTTCTGCTTCGTTCTTCGACACACGTCTTGCCTCTCTGCCATCATCATCATCCTCGTCTCGCCTCACCGCACCCCTCATCCCGCCTCCACACCAGATCGCACCCGATTAGACTAGGCTAGACTAGACTAGACCTGACCGCCCATCCCTTTGCCAGCACCGCACGCCATGGCGCCCCAGATCATCACCAACACCAAGCACAAGGCGCCCGCCAACGTCAACCGCGGCAACATCTTCGAGTTCCTGCACTCGAACCCGAACAAGGTCGACGACAACCGGCCCGCCTACATCCGCCTCGACGGCAAGACGGTGACGCGCCGCCAGGTGTACAACGATGCGCGCAGCCTCGCCCACGCCTTCCGCCACCGCCTCGGGCTGCCCGCCGGCGCGCGTATCGGCATCCTCAGCCCCAACTCGACCTACTACCCCGTCGCCGTGCACGCCGGTCTCTGCGCCGGCGTCGTCCTCGTGCCCATGAACGCCGCCTACACGGCCGAGGAGCTCCTCCACCCCATCCACGACGCAGAGGTCGAGTACCTCCTGTGCCACCAGTCGCTGCTGCCCGTCGCCCGCCAAGGCTTCCAGCTGGCCAAAAAGGGCCTCAAGTCGCGCAACGGCCAGAACCGCATCTGGATCCTCGACGACGGCGACGACCTCAAGCGCGGCGACCAGGGCGAGGAGGACCTGCGCACCCTCCTCTCCGACCACCGTCTCGAGCCCCACAAGGTCACCGACGACGAAAACACCGACGCCTACATTGCCTACTCGAGCGGCACCTCGGGCAAGCCCAAGGGCGTCCAGCTAACCCACCGCAACATCACCTACGTCACCATCGCCGCCTGCGTCACCTTTGACACCGACATTGGCCCGGACGACGTGTACCTTGCCGTGCTGCCCCTCAACCACATCTTTGGGCTGGCCAAGTTCTGCCACATGGCCTACTACAACGGCTCGGCCAGCGTCGTCGTGCCGCGCTTCGACCTCGACGTCTTCTGCGCCGCCGTCCAGAAGCACCGCTGCAACATCGCCTACGTCGTGCCGCCCATCCTGGTGCAGCTGACAAAGAACCCAAAGACGGACCAGTACAACCTGAGCAGCCTCAAGTGGGTCCTCTCGGGCGCGGCGCCGCTCGGCATCGAGCTTAGCAACGAGTTTGAGAAAAAGTTCCCCACGATCCGCGTCACCCAGGCCTGGGGCCTGAGCGAGACGTCGCCGACGGCCACCTACACGTCGTACCGCGACTATCGCACCTACGCCGGCAGCTGCGGCCACATGGTCGCTGGCGTCGAGGGGCGCCTGGTCGACGACGACGGCAACGACGTCGGTCACGAGCAGGGCGAAAACGGCAAGCCGGGCGAGTTCTGGGTGCGCGGGCCGTCGATCATGCGCGGCTACCTCAACAACAAGGAGGCCACCGACGACTGCATCACGCCCGACCGCTGGTTCAAGACGGGCGACATTGCCATTGTCAACAAGCAGGGCTACTTTTGGATCGTCGACCGCAAAAAGGAGCTCATCAAGTTCAAGTGAGTGACTTGCCGCGGCGGGCCGTGGGGGTCGAGGGGGGCATGGCCACCACGAGACGATCGGAGATGCAACCGGACTGACCCTCTTTACGTTTCCACTCTGCGCCTCTCTGCGGCGTCTCCATCTGCAGGGGCTTCCAGGTGCCGCCGGCCGAGCTCGAGGCGGTGCTGCTGGGCCACCCCAAGATTGCCGACGTGGCCGTGATTGGCGTGTACGACGACTCGCAGGCGACGGAGCTGCCGCGCGCCTACGTCGTGCCTTCCGAGGCGGCCAAGTCGACGGATCCGGCGGCGCTGGCAAAGGAGATTGTCGAGTGGACCGCGTCCAAGGTGGCCAACCACAAGCGCCTGCGAGGTGGCGTCAAGATTGTCGACGTCATCCCAAAGAGCCCCTCGGGCAAGATTCTGCGCCGCATCATCCGCGACGAGGCGGCAAAGGAGGCCAAGAAGTAGCTGCCTCGGCAGGATCGTAGCGAGTAGTAGAATTGCAATGGAAGGGATTCTGTACCCGGGGTGCATCGGTCGTCGTGGGCATGCTTGACGAGCGCGGAGGATTGTGTCGGCGAGATGATGATCCGAGTGAACGAGGCAAGGTGGATGATGTCGTCCGTCGACTGGCTTGGCTGCCGACTGAAGCAGAAAGACGCCGGATTTAACGCCGGCCGACGTGGGTGCGTGTGGAGAAGGGCAAAGCTAAGCTGCTTTGGCTCGGCGCGGCGGCGCACCGACCACCGCGCCCTTACGTTGCCAGCGTCGTTCTTCCTCGTCCTCGACCACCCCTTTCCGCTTGCCTCGCCACCGCGTCGCCCGCTACATACCCATCGACGACGCCACAACACACCACGCCATGGCTCGATTCGCACACTACCCCTCCACCATCCCTGCCGCCTCGCTCGACGGGCCTGCACCCTTCCTCCTCATCCTGGCACCTCTGGACCGAGGATGCACGGGCCTCAGCACCAACCTGGCCGAAGAGGGGTACGACGTCGGCGTCTTTGACTATCCCCCTCCTCCCACCGCCTCCTCGCCCTCTACTCCTCACGGTGACGACAGTGGAAAGGCGCTGGCCAAGGCTGTGCTTCAACGTCTGTCCGACGAGGGGATCGAGTGGCCGCAGTGGAACGCAATCATCACCGTCGGACTGCGCGGCGACGACGGCAGCGTAGTCCGCCACCTGCAGGACCTGTGCCCGGGATCCGTTGGCGGGTGGGTCCACTACGGTCCCCTTTTCACCGGCTCCTCCGACTTCCCCCTGCCCACGTCTCAATCGGCGCCGGCGCTCTACCACCTCGGATCGCACCAGTCGACATTGCTGGCGCACCTGACCAAGCTGGGCGACGACGGCACGATACCGCGCGAGAGCTTCCCGTTCAACCCGTCCTGGCCGTCGTCGTCGCTGCGCGGCCAAGTCGGCCCATCGCGCCCGGCAGCGGCCACCTTCTATCATTACGAGTCGGTCAGCGCCACGTCGGCGGCCGATTGGGCGTTCTCCTACCCGTTCTCGGACCACACGCGGCCCTTTGCCTTTTCACCGCCGCGCACCGATGCGGACCGTTCGGCGGCGTCGCTGTGCTACACGCGCACCCTCGCCTTCCTCAAGGCCCAAATCGGACCGCGCTTCCCCCTCGAGTCGATCTGGGACCGCCACACGTACTTCGAGTTTGCCACCAAGGATTCGGCGGCCACCATGTCGACCATGGTGCCCTCGCCCTACGTCAACCACGTCGCCACACTGACGGGCGGGAGCGGGTACGATGAGCTGGCGCGCTTCTACGAGCACCACTTTACCCGCGCCTCTCCGCCCGATACGCGGTTGCTGCCCGTCTCGAGGACGGTGGGGTCCGATCGCATCGTCGACGAAATGGTCTTCGAGTGCACCCACACGACCGAGATCGAGTACTTCCTCCCCGGCGTTGCCCCAACCGGCAAACGCCTCCGCATCGCCATGGTGGGCATCATCAATATCCGCGGTGATAAGCTCGCCTTTGAGAGCCTGTACTGGGATCAGGCCAGCACACTTGCCCAGCTCGGCCTGCTCCCCAGCGGCGGCAGCAGCGGCGGCGCCGGAGGCGGCAGCCTGCCCATCGCAGCGGGTGAGGTCGCGCAGAAGGTCCTCGACCCCTACGGCCAACCCAGTAACCTCCTCCTCACGCGGTGGAAGCACAGCGAAAACCTCCCCGTCCCCCCCAAGTGGACGGCGCCGCCACAGTCGTGATTGTGGCGCGTCGCGGTTCGGCAATCGGCGAGCCCCTGGTCAGAGGCCGGGAGCGACGATGTGACGATGCGAGCACGCGTCAGGGAGGCCACTGAAACGAGGACGCGGCGTTGTATTAGACGGCGTACGGTGGCGGCGGCGGCGACGCTGGGCGGCAGCTGGAAAGCAGCGACTACTGTGGAATCCAAGAAGGCATAATATCGACAAACGAACTTTAGCGAGGCACGAGTACGGGGGAACAAGAGAAAACAGAGACATGGCAGAAGGGCCCCGGATCGCCGACGCCGCGCGATGCCGTGCCACGCGAGGCCGGCTATCTGCCGTGGCTGTCGGGTTGGTTCCAGGAGAGGAACGACATGTCGCCCAGCTTGCGTGGGCGGATGAGGTGGCGCGCGGTAAAGATGAGGCCGAGGAGCACCGAGAGGGCGGCGACGGCAATGTAGGCAAGGCCGAGGAACGGGTTGCGGCCGCCGACCCACGACACGGTGCTGAAGACGACGCTCTTGGTGCCCTTGAACATGGCGACGGGGTAGTTGTCGGTGACTCGCAGCAGGTAGCGCCCGGCGGGCATGGGCTCGGCGTCGTTGCGCTTGTAGAGCTTGCGGAATGTGGGCAGCCCGGCGGTGCGCATCCACACCATAAAGTGCTCGTTGTCCGAAGGGTCAAAGATGGTGCCGTTCGAGTAGCCCTGGGGAAAGCCAAAGGCGCCGCCGGCGCCGGCGCCCGTCCAGAAGGGCGGCGGCACAATGTCGTTGGCGCTGTAGCTGGTCGGCTTGTACTTGTCGCGCTCGCCCGGCCAGACGATGCCGCGCTCGCTCATGACGTAGGTCTGGTTCTGCGAGTCGCCGCCGGCGACGTTGAGGAGGACGGGGTCGGCAAACGTGTCGTTGAAGACGCTGTTGGCGATGAGGCCGCACGGGTAGATGATCTTGCCGGAGGCGTCGTCGATGTCGAGCGGCTTGCACTCGCCGCCGTCGATGGTGCTGCGCGACACGGCCTTGCCCAGCAGCTGGTCCGAGTCAAAACTCTTGACATATCGCCGGTGGTTCTGGTAGTAGTTGGTCAGCTTGTAGTAGAGGAAGACGGAGGCGTCGAGCTGGGCGGGAACGCTAAAGTAGAGGTCGCAGGTGCGCGCCGCCTCGTCCCACGACCACGTCGGCGGCTGGTAGTTGGACGTGTTTTTGTCGTGCAGCTGGTAGTCGTATTTGGACGTGGGGATCTGCTGCTGCTGCGGCGAAGCCGGCGCCGTGCGGCAGTCGGTGTAGTCGATGGTGAACTCGTTGACCTGCGGAAGGGTCAATGAAGCGATGGGATGCGATGGGATGGGATGTGGACGGGTCAGTCGTCGATGCCGCGCCGGCGGCCAAGCTCACGCTGCGCCACGCTGCGCCACGCCGCGCCAGGCCAGGCCACGCCCCGCAATGCCGCGGCACTCACCTGCTGGCTAAAGTAGTAGAGCACGGCGCCGATGGGGGCAAACACAAGGCCGATGAGGAAGAATGTGGGGAGCACGGTCCTGGGGGTGAGGATGGGCTGCCAGGCCTTGAGGCGCTGCTGCTTGAAGGCCGTGTTGGCGGGCTTGCGCTGGGTAAACTTCTTGAGGCCGGATACGTCGCCGTTGTCGCTGCTGTCGCCGCCGTCGGGCCCCTTTCTGGTCACGTCGCCGGCGTCGGTGGCGCGCACCTTGCGCCTGAAAGGTGCCATGCTGGCGTGCCGATGCGGAGACGGGTGTGGAGGACGAGGTCGGCGTGGGCTGGCGGTCGAGGCGAGCAGGCAGAGAAGCTGGACTGGGACGGGTCGATGCGAGGATGCGCAGAGGGAAAGAGAGCGCGGTCGGTAGCGCGCGCCAGAGCGGCAGAAGAGTGCTGGCGGCGATGGATGGCGGTTGTGGTGGTGGTGGTGGTGGTGGTGGTGGTGGTGGTGGTGGTGGTGGCGGTAGCGCTGGTGATGGTGATGGTGGTAGTGGGGCCGATAGTCGGGTTGGCTCCAAGACCAGCGGCTCGTTTCCACCGGAGGCATGCATGGCTCGCAAGCGCTCTGTTGGTCCCTGTCGCTGGCTGCTGCGCTGGTCCTGGCTGACCGAGGGGGGCTTTGGGCGAGGCGGTGCCATGGCCTAGTTAGCCTGCCTGCACTCTCTCTTTCTGTCTTGGTCTGGCCTCGTTGTCTGTCCGCGGCCGGCCCGCTGGGCCACCAAACCAAATTTCCGGAGGTGGCAGGCCGGGGGACCCGATTCAGGAGGCGCCAAGAGGTGGATCGGCAGGCCCAGCCCGAGCGCGTCCATCGGGCATCTCTCTATTTCGACTTTCAGCGGGGCAGGCAAGGCTGCTGCTGCTGGCTCCTTTCGGGCACGGACGCCTGCTTGTGTGTTGGCTGGGCATGGCCCCTTTGTGTTGCCGGGCTGCTTGCTTGCGCCCCGACGATGTTGCCGGCTGCTCCCTCCTCCACCACCACATGGTGCTCTCTCATAGGCAGGTCTCTGTCCTTTGAGCGAGGTGGGCAGTTGGGCGGCCTGGCTTGGGTGCAAGGCGTCGCTGCGTCGCGGCGTGGCGTGTTGACCTTGAGAGGCTGCCCGAAGTGAGCCGTGGGAAGCTGGCCTGGCCTCAGTGGCCAGCTCGAGTGTGCGAGCGGGTTGCCTGGCCAGGCCAGCGGCCTGACTGCAAGAGGCTCTCACCACTACTCTCTCCCTGAGATGCGAGGTGCTGCACGCCGAGGCCCAGCTGGCCACACAACGCCCTGCCTGGCATCTCTCAAGCTACGCACGCACGCACGCACGCACACTCACACAGCCAACCAACCTACCTCTTTGCTGGTGGCCTGCCTGCCTGCAAGCTCGCAACACTCTACCTGCCTATTGCTTCAACCAACCTTCTTGACCGCCACGTTTCACCACCATCACGTCGTCGTCGACGCCTCCTCCTCCTCCCCCCCACTCCCACCATCACCGTTGCTCCATCTTGACCTGCGCTCGCTCCGCTTTCGTCATAGGCCTCGCTCGACCCCGCCGCCCCCTCCCACGCAGCGCACCTTCGCTTCTCGGGCGGGCGAACCCGTGCTTGCACTGCACCCGGCCTGCCTGCACATTTGCCTTCTCTTTCCACCTCGACCGCATCGACGCCGACAACAACAACGACGACGACAAGGCTGCATCTACTCGACTCGGGGTCCCACGTCCGCGCTCTTGCATCGAGCTCATCACCCGCACGCTTTGCATGCTCGTCGGCCGCGCCACGCACACCTCTCTGTTTCAGACCTCGACCAGCCTCCTGACCCTTCGCAATAGGACACGGCAACCAGCCTGGACCCCTCCAGGCCTCGGCGTGGTGTAGCATGTCGCAGAATGGCAGCGTCAGAGGGTGAGTAGTCGTCGAATAGCGCGGTACCAGCGCCAGGTCTCGCCGCTCGACCGCCCCTCCCGCTCACCCTTGTATCCCGCTTTGCCTCCTGCTGCTCCTCGAACCGGTCCCGGGCCACCACTTTCAGCAAAGCGGCAGCAGCGGCGGCTCAGCGCGACCGCTCTCTGATGCAGCTCCTCGATCCCAGCAACCTGATGCCTGGCCACACCATCGCTGACCTCTACAGCCTGCGACACCTCAGCCTCCAGGGCGGCATCCCCGACTCACCCTCCTGGCTGCGTGCCCAGGCCTGGAAGGTCCTCCTCGGCTACCTTCCGCCAGAGAAGAAAGAGTGGCCCACGGTGCTCGACAAGCGCCGCCAGGAATACTACCGCTTCGTGTCCGACTTCTCGCCGTCGAGCGCAGGCGTCCCACAGCCAGCGTCGCCGCACCTCTCCGAACGCGATGCGCTCCTCGATCAGATCTACAAGGACCTCTCGAGGTCCAGGAAGAATGGCTTCGCCTTCTACCAGGGCGAGGTGCGGCCCTCGCGCTCCTGCCCGCTGGCGCCCGAGCCCGCCGACCACCCGGCTTCGTCAACAAGAGGCGCGACGGCGCCCCGACTCGATGCCAGGCAGGCGCTCCTCGAACGCCTGGCCCAGATTAACGCCAGCTTCGCAGAACAGCTCGGCCGGCCACACCAACACCAAGCCGCCGAGCAAGAACAAAAGGCCAAGGCCCGGACAGAACTCCTCGCCGGCCAGCCACCATCTTCTCACGGCTCGGAGCCAGGCGCGAGCAACGGACCGCGCGCTGCTCCACGAACAGAAAAGGGAGCACTACCAGCCGGCCCGCCCATCTACCTCTCGCCTCCATCGCCAGGCGGCGCTTCGGCCAACTCATCCCAGGCATCTTTCGCATCGGCAGTCGACACGGAGACCGGCAATGCAGGCACGGCCGATGGTCCTGAGCGCAGCGATGTCGCTGGATTCACAGCAGATGCAGCGAGCGGTCCATCTGAGCCGAGCGACGGCGTCACACCGCCCATTGTCGACCGCAACTGGCACTCGCTCCTCCGCATCCTCTACTTTTACGCCCTCCTTAACCCGAGCATAGGGTACGTTCAGGGCATGAATGAAGCCCTGTTCACGCTCTTCTACGCCTTTGGCACCGCCGGCTCCCTTCCTCGCAAGGGCGTACGAGGAGCAGCGGCGCCGACGGGTCGGACAGCGAGCGTCTCGCGCGCCGCTGGAACTGGCAATGATGGCGAACCCGCTGCCGATGACGGCGGCGAGGGCGACGACTCCCTTGACGACGAAGACGAGGATGGGACCAGCCCTCACGCCGAAGCGGACGCCTTCTGGTGCTTTTCGCTGCTGATCGGCGAGGTCAAGGAGCTCTACGATTTTGAGGGCGTCGACCGCGCAATGTCGGGCGACATGCTGGCCGAGGCCCCCGCCACTTTATCGAGCGGCGTCGGAGGCGGCGGCAACTTCTTGCGGATCGGCATGGCGGGCGCGCTGAAGCGCTTCAGCCTGCGGCTGAGGTGGCTCGAGCCGGAGCTCTGGCGCAGCCTGCGCGCCGCCAACCTCGATCCGCGCATGCCCTACTACTCGTTCCGCTGGCTCGCCTGCCTGGTCAGCACCGAGCTCTCTCTGCCCTCGGTGCTGCGGGTGTGGGACGCGCTGCTTGCCGAGCAAGAGACGTCGCAGGAGGGCGCGTTCCCCGCCAAGATCGAGTTTCTCATCGACATGTGCTGCGCGCTGCTCATCCAGATCAAGCCGCTGTTGACACCTATCCTCGCCTCGGCCAGCGCCACGCTCGGCGATCCGAAGGCAGAGGACCGCGACGCCTTTTCCGAAGGGATGCGCGTGCTTCAAGCGTATCCGGAAGAAGACGTGGGACCCGTCATCGAGCTGGCCATCCTCTTCCGCCAACGCAGGCTGGCGGCGGACCTGACAGGCGACGGCCCGCCCGACGACGACGACGTCGCCGACGGTGCCGAGGCGGGCCTCGCCTCGGTGCGAGCCAGGGCCGCTCAGACGCTCCAGCGGTGGG